CTGCCAATGACGAGGACAGATTCGCAGCCGCCCGGGATGGTGGCCGCCCAGGCAAAGGTCGAGGATGCGGCAAGACGAACACAAACACCGCATCAATCCTCGGGCCTCGCGCAACATCTCAAGCCCCATGGGCCCACTACAATCTCTCGGAATATGCGTACAAGCTACGCACGAGATTCCGCTATTGTCTGTGGTGCAATAGTGATTGGCACGACACAGTGGGCTGCCCTTTGAAAGGCAAGGGCAAACAGTTGGGAAATTGAGCACCACCGGGAGTGAGTCGACGACACTCTCGACGCCTTCGGAACCGGTTGCTACGCGGGCGACCGCCCTTCGTCCCGAGGCGCAAGCGAAAGTCGATAGTCCTCTTTTTCTATATTCTTATGAGGACTATGCTGCCCGACTCGTTCCTACGTTGGGTACTCATGCTCAAGGAGAAGACGTGTGTGCGACATTTTCTCTCTCCGGCAACGGGGACTTATCGGGTTCAAGCGGTTCTTCACGGGATTCGGCCCGAGTTCAACATAGAGGTCTTGGACCCACTCACGTCGGAGGATTTCACATGGCTTCCTCTCCCGACCACGGGCCGCTTGTCGGGACCGCAATGCGCAGCACTATGCGCTCATCTTCACACGTATCTATCCTTCTATGCACCACCAACTTTGCCGACGGATGACGAAGCTGCGTTGGGGGACATCCTTGCGTATGTTACCAAGGTGGCCCGCGAGTAAGCAGCGGTACGATGACAACAACGCACCGCTCCTCTATGTCCGCATCCAAGTTGGGCAAACGTCCTGCAGCGCTTTGCTGGATAGCGGCGCGACTCGCAATTTCATGAGCCAAGCCTTTGTGCAAAGGGTTGGCCTTGGCACACAAGTTCGGAGGAAGGCAAACCTGACGACGATCAAGTTGGCAGACGGAAGGACGCAACAACTTATCGACCGTTACATCGAGGCCGTACCGGTGTATTTCGCACCTCATGCATGCGAACCGGTGACGTTTGACATTTTGGACACGGATTTCGACATTATTTTGGGAATGCCTTGGCTTGCAAGTGCGGATCACACGGTCAACTTCCACCGGTGGACTCTTACCGTTCGGGACGCCTTCGGCGTCGAAGTACCGTGTTACTATTCCTCTTCCGCACACTTCGATCCGGTGCCAAGTGGTTACGGCCAAGTCATTCCGGGCTACTTGTGCTTACGAGCAGCCCGACGAAATCGGCCTATGTTTCCTATGGACCGTTGTGGTAGCCGACTCTTCACCCATGGACTTGTCTTCGGACCCCCGTGTGGTGCGGTTGCTTGACGAGTTCGCCGACATCTTCGAGTCACCTATCGGTGTGGTGCAGGATCGACCGATCTCTCACGAGATCATTCTTGAGGCCGATGTCGTGCCGCCGAAAGGTTGCATTTATCGCATGAGCGAGGAGGAGCTTACGGTCCTCCGCGCACAACTCGATGACCTGTTGGACAAGGGCTGGATCCGCCCTAGTAGCTCCCCATATGGAGCACTGGTTCTCTTCGCAAGGAAGAAGAACAAGGATCTACGATTATGCATCGATTAACGTAAACTCAACGCGCAAACCGTCAAGAATGCGGGGCCTCTTCCTCATATTGACGATCTGCTTGAGCGATTGGGCTGCACAAAGTATTTTTCGACTTGAAGTCGGGCTATCATCAGATTTCGATACTCCCGAACGATCGCTATAAAACTGCGTTCAAGACGCGGTACAAGCATTTTGAGTCGGTGGTCATGCCTTTTGGACTCACCAATGCCCCGACGACCTTCCAAGTGGCAATGACCAACGAGTTTTGTGCGATGTTGTACCGGTTCGTGCTGGTCTACTTAGACGATATCCTCGTGTATAGCCAGACATTGGAGGATCATTTTGAGCACCTTCGCGAGCGTTTTTGGTGGCCCGGCCTTCTCGGCGACGTCACACGCTATTGCGAGTCATGCGAGGTTTGTCGACGCTGCAAATCCCGCAATCATCGTCCGTACGACGAGTTGCGGCCATTACCGGTCCCCTTGTGCCGAAGGGAAGCGATTGCCATGGATATCACCGGGCCGCTCCCCAAGCGCAAGACCGGTGTGGATGGGATTCTCACGGTGGTCGACTGACTCACCAAGTTTGCCATGTTTTTGCCTTACCGCTATCATGCCAAGGCACCGGAGTTGGCTGAGATTCTTTCCGCCGGTCGGATTCAAGCGAAGGGTTACCCCAAGGAAATCGCCTGCGACCGCGACACTCGTTTCATGTCTGATTTTTGGTTGGGGCTCATCAAACGATGGGGCTCATCTCTCAAGCCAAGTTCGGCTCGCCACCCCCAAACCGATGGCCAAACAGAGAGGGTGCATCACACCGCACAGGTTCTCCTTCGCACCCTCATCCACCCCGACCAAAAGGATTGGGTTGAGCGGCTGCCCGATGTCGAGTTGGCATACAACTCGTCCATCCATCCGGCTATCGAGATGTCACCCTTTGAGTTTGAGCACGGCTCACCGGTCACCTCTCCGTTGGACACAATCATCCCACGGGCGACCGAGAGTGACGACCATCTTCTTTTCGTACGTTGGATGCAAGAGCTACTTGTCAAGGCACGCAACCAGATGGCAAAGACGCAGCAACGCATGAGCCAACAGGGAAATCGACAGCGTCTTCCTTGTCCCTTCCACACCGGCGACCTCGTATGGGTCTCCGCCGCGGAATTCAGCCTCGAGCAAGATATCTCTCGTAAGCTCCTCACGAAATGGATGTGGCCCTGGCCGATCGTGGCACCCGCTGGGGACGCACCCGAGGGACTGTCATTTGTCATTCAGGTGCCCGCCCACTTGCCCGTCTACCCAGTCTTTCATTGTTCCAAGTTGGCCCTATTTTGTCGTGAGAAATTTGCTAAGCCGAACACGACGACTTCCCCGGGCAACGATCGCAAGACCCACCCTCTATGGATGGTTTTGAAGAGGTTGGCGACATCATCTCCCTGCGACGCGACGGCAACAGGCCGACCAAATATTTGGTACATTTTGCGTACTGCACCCATTGAGCTGACCGTTGGTTGACCCGTGTGGAACTCCAAGCAACAGCTCCGAATGTTCTCGCACGCTACGAACGCAAGTTGCAAGGCAAGTCGGTATCTTCGGCTCCACGTCACACCCACGTCCAGGTTCCATCTTCAGATCGTCAGCTTCGCCCTCGAACTGGCTTGACTTCATAAGGAGGGGGTGGTGTTACATGTTGAGCCTGCACACAGGCCCCATTTGCGGGGCCCGACAGTTGCTGAGGGGCCCCCAGGCTGCACGCCATCCAGCGCGCACCCTGGAGGCCCACGGCGACCCTCTAGGCCGCTGGTATAGGGTGAGGCAGCACTCATTTATTAATTTATTATTTTTGTGATGCGCTGCCCTATTTTTGTCCGTTCAGGCACCGTTTTGGACTTGCAGCCCCAAGGCAGCACCTTGGGCCAGGTACACCGGAACGAGGCCTCACCCTGGTCTAAAAGACACCTGGAGCAAACAGATGAACTTCAGAAAAATAAATTCACAGAAAAGAAATATGGGGAAGGCAAAAATATGAACAAGGACAAAAGTGAACCTCGGGTCCAAAAGAGACCCATGCTCCACCTGAAAACTGGAGGTGGGACCTCAGGTGGCCCAAAATGAGGGTTGCGCAGCCTGGAGGCCATAAACCCTCGTGAGGCCCCTTGGGGCCAATGTACGAGGCTCCGTGCATGCCACCCTCTCTCTCACATACACGCACACTGTGGTGGCGGTCACCACAAGGGCGGGATTTCCTGCCCTTTGCGCAGTGAGTATAGCTAGCTCCCCACCCAAGGTGTGCCAGACTCAGGTGAAGAGTACCCCTACAGTAAAACTGTTTCATTGTTGGAATGTTACATCTAGAGTATGCTTCATTGTCTGCAATAGAGGTGAAGCTGCATCAATTTTGGATCTTCTCATCTGGGTGGAGCAGGAGCTGTTGTGGTGAAAATCTACAACACACTATGGTCAAGCTGTTTGAATTTCGGATCTACTCATCTGGGTGGAAAAAAGTCGTTGTTCAGGTGATAGGTTACAACGCACTCACCCCAAAAAAAAAACAGCTTTGCAATCGCACAAGGGGCAGTCATGCGCCTCCAGTGCACTACACCTGTGTGCGCGTTGTGTGGGCATCACACAACTGCGCACTGCACAGTTGTGCAGCAAATATGATTTCAAGGCTTTGCTGCTCCATCCAGACTGTGGGTGCCACAGCACTGGGCAATCTTATACGTGGATTGCTAAGGGCATACTCACCAGCACTTGCCTAAATGTATCTGATTGCATCTGCGGCCAGACCTGGATGTATCTGATTGCTGTCGCATCCTGAGCTCAAATGGGTTACATATCCAAAATGAATGAGACTGACACCCTGGAAGAGGTTTCCCACAGCACGAAGTTTACGCTCTTTCTGCTTAATTTCGTAGTTGAAAAAGGTGTTTCCTACTCCGTGCAGTATTTATCAACTCTTCAATCGGAATCGTTCACCTGTTTCTATCGTGTGTCATGAAAAGAGCTCGCGAACTTGAAACTTGTATGCTTGTTGACGGCAAGCTCTCTAAACATGGTGATTTTGTTTTGCTCTCCTTATTTTACACGTGTGCCTCTCTATGACTGCTGTTGGTTTGGGGATCCTCTCGATGGCACTGAATGGCAGCAAATCCCTGGTTACGAGAGGGTGGAACTGCACCTGATACACCCCTGGAATCTGGCGTGCTCTTCAGGATAAAGAATTTTGCAGCGATGCATAAAGTCAAGAAAATGTTCATGAAGGTGAGGTTTTGCCAATGAATGGGTCTTACGGAAGTAGTTTTAGTCTTGTGTCAACGTGGTGTCATTTTGTTATCTGTGGATCTAACTATCTTTGTTTCCGTGTTTGTTGCACGGGCATGCTTTTCCGTCCCTGTGGCTATGGGACTCGTCACAATTCATTGCTGCCTATGGTTCTTAATCTGCATCAGCCCATCCATGGATGCGTGAAGATGGAGTTGCTCCTGACAAACCCCTGGATTCTGCTGTGCTCTCCCGTCTCAAGAATTTCTCTGCAATGAACAAAATGAAGAAGATTGCAGTGAAGGTCAGATGTTACTACCTGCTTGCCTCACTGTGGACAGTCTACGGGCACTTACTATTTGCCAAGCTTGTGTGGATCAGAGGATGAGTGAATGAATGTGATCACCATGTGAGGAATCAGAAGTTTGCAGCTTGTCCTCATTGGAGATAGAAGACATGTGCACAGCTTGGATGAGAATGGCAACAGGAAGTCTGTTGATGTCGTTCCTTCTGCATTTGTGAGAAGTGAACCATATTCTGCATGGGTCATCAGGACTCATCAGTGCGGATTCAGTACATGCATGCTGACATAATGTTGCCACCTTGCTGCCAATGCTCTCAGGGAACCGACATGTTCCTTTCTAAAGCTTCATTTGCTTTCTGTTTGTAGGTTAGTGTTATACTTGTTGTATGTATTTTAGTTGGGGTTCCTTACGATTCATTGGAAAAGTACGTGCACCTTCTAGCCAGCAAATCTTTGCATCCAGAAAGTGGCCAAGAATGTTATTTGAACTGATTTCTCTTGTTGATTACAGCTCCTTTCGGAAGGAATTGATTCTGGTAAAGGTCCAGCTGTGTAGCATACGAGTTCATTACTGATGATAGTTTTTCTGTCGACCTAATGATTGGCCAAAGTCTGCTAGACCATTTGGAATTAAAAAATTAAAATGCACATGCTCAAGCTAACCTCCATCTTGGACAAAAACAAGAGATCCGGAAGGGTAAGTGCTAAGCCTGATCCGTAAGAACTATGCTGCTTCGGCCTGCCATACCCAAGGGTACCAGTTTGTGTGCAAGATTCCAAGTACCCTAGTTCGGTGATTCTTAAACCTCCAGGTCATTGAACCTTACTGTTCGTCTAGTCGATAGTGACTCGGCCTGCCAAGTTCGGCAGAGGGCACAAGCACATTCGTCACTAAACACTGCGGGGCCCTTGGGAAATCTTCTTCTTCTTCTTCGTCTTCGTCTTCTTCTTCGTCTTCGTCTTCGTCTTCGTCTTCGTCTTTGTCTTCGTCTTCGTCTTCATCGTCGTCTTCGCCGTCTTCGTCTCCTTCTTCGTCTTCATCTTCGTCTTAATCTTCGTCTCCTTCTTCTTCTTCGCCGTCTTCGTCTCCTTCTCCTTCTCCTTCTTCTTCTTCTTCTTCTTCTTCTTCTTCTTTGTCGTCGTCTTCGTCTCCTTCGTCTTCGTCGTCTTCGTCTTCGTCTCCTTCGTCTTCGTCTCCTTCTTCTTCGTCTTCGTCTTCGTCTTCGTCTTCGTCTTCGTCGTCTTCGTCTTCGTCGTTTTCGTCTGTCTCCTTCGTCTTCGTCTCCTTCGTCTTCGTCTTTGTCTCCTTCTCCTTCTCCTTCTCCTTCTCCTTCTCCTTCTCCTTCACCTTCTATTCGTCGTCTTCGTCGTCTTCGTCGTCTTCGTCGTCTTCTTCTTTTTCGTCGTCTTCGTCGTCGTCGTCTTCGTCTTCGTCTTCGTCTTCGTCTTCGTCTTCGTCTTCGTTTTCTTCGTCTTCGTCTTCGTCTTCGTCTTCGTCTCCTTCGTCTTCGCCGTCTTCGTCTCCTTCTTCTTCCTTCGTCTTCGTCTCCTTCGTCTTCGTGTTCTTCGTCTTCATCTTCATCTTCGTCTTCGTCTTCGTCTTCGTCTTCTTTGTCCTCGTCTTCGTCGTCTTCATCTTCTCCGTCTTCGTCTTCGTCTTCGTCTCCTTCGTCTTCGTCTTCGTCTCCTTCGTCTTCGTCGTCGTCTCCTTCTTCTTCCTTTGTCTCCTTCTCCTTCTCCTTCTCCTTCTCCTTCTCCTTCTCTCCTTCTTCTTCTTCGTCGTCTTCGTCGTCTTCGTCTTCTTCTTCTTCTTCTTCTTCTTCTTCTTCTTCTTCTTCTTCTTCTTCGTCGTCGTCGTCGTCGTCTTCTTCGTTTTCTTCGTCGTCTTTGTCTTCTTCTTCTTCGTCTTCGTCTTCGTCTCCTTCGTCTTCGTCTCCTTCGTCTTCGTCGTCTTCGTCTCCTTCTTCTTCCTTCGTCTCCTTCTCCTTCTCCTTCTCCTTCTCCTTCTCCTTCTCCTTCTCCTTCTCTCCTTCTCCTCCTTCTCCTCCTCTCCTTCTCCTCCTCCTCCTTCTCCTCCTCCTCCTCCTCCTCCTTCCTGCGGAGTTTTGCATCGCCCCCGGTCGAGTCAGTCAACTGATGCGGTACGCCTGTCAGTCCAGTCCAAGGCAGCAGCTCAGGCCCAGGAAATTCCGGTAACTTTCGGATGCGTCAAAAGAACAGCTGCGACCGGCAAGCTAGGGGCAGTCTAAGATTGGGAACTTGAGCCAAGTGTGGCAGCCAAGCAACAATACAATTTGCATTTGAGCCTGCTGCGGGACATGAGAGAGAGAGAGAGAGAGAGAGAGAGAGAGAGAGAGAGAGAGAGAGAGAGAGAGAGACCTGAGGGTAGGTAGGACATGAGAGAGAGAGAGAGAGAGAGAGAGAGACCTGAGGGTAGGTAGGACATGAGAGAGAGAGAGAGAGAGAGAGAGAGAGAGAGAGAGAGAGAGAGAGAGAGAGAGAGTTACTTCATTGCTGTGAGTTCCGGCCATAGCGGCCGGTGTATATGCATGAGACTTCGATGTGTAAGACTTTGACTTTTTCAAACAATTTCCAAACTGTACTCATATCATGTTGGAGCACATCTCGTGTGTGGAGCCCAGCATGATGAAGTGGGAATTTGTCATTGTCCAAGTGGCGGTGTGAAATCGTCGGATCATGGCAGTACTCTAAACTCGTCCGAAGGAGATTCTTCATACAGGTACTAGGTTTGAATCCTGACGCAATCAAACAGCAAAACACAAACATTCAAGAGGACATTGGGGGAGGTCTCGGTTCAGATCCCTTTGCCCCAGCATCTGGAAGAGAGAGTATACGAGGAGAAAGAATGGAGGCAAGGGTGTAGGGCAATTCTCTGTCTCTCCAAGAACTCTATCAGTTAGGTGGAACTTGTGGCTATGGCCACTTCTTTTCCGGTGATAAAATACCACACAGCAGATGTAGAGGAGCTACCTCGCTGTGATGTATCTACAGCATTGGCCTTCCCTGATTTCCATTGAAGTTGGGGCTTTCTTGTTGGCAATGGCCACCCTTCTCCTCTATCACTCACCGTTGAAACTGGGGAGCTAAGCATTCCGCTTTGGGGTTCTCTCGTTGGGAACAGCCGCCCATCTCCTTTATCACTCGCTGTCGAAAGTGGTGAGCTAAGTTTTCCGCTCGTCTCACGTTGCTTTCCAACAACAACGGCTGGGAAATGAAAACTGACCCAGACATCAGGTAGTCTTTAGTCTGTTGCTTCTAACCATAGTTGGGCAGGGCCCTGTCCTGTCAGGCGAGAGGCTTCAATCAGTAGCTCGTTTCACTACGATTCAAACAGATGAGGTGTAAACCACTGGTAATTGTGCTACGCGAGAAAAAAAAAGAAAATGTGATAGTCAGGAACGGCAGGTTAACAGCTCCCCAACCCACAAGTCAGAAAGACAAATGTGTGTCCATAGACTCCATACCTACCCTGGGTGTCTTCAACTGCCAAACAACCGGTAGTCCGGAAAACGTGAGACATTGGTGCACCAGTGATCCAATGGTCATGTTCCCTGAAAGGCAATAGTCCAGAAGTCATCCAGTGGTCAAGCTCACAAAATGGCTGGCATCTGTGTCCCATTCTCCCAGCTGGGGGGAAAAAACAGTCAGACATCGATAGCTATCTGTACTCAGGCATGCCACCTATGCTACAATCTGCTTCTATGTGGAGGATGTTGAAAAATAAGGAAAAGGGAGAAGGGAATATATAGCTAACTGCTGGCCCATTCATTGTGCTTATCCCATATAAATGTGCATGTTTATGGTATGTTTGTCATTTATTAGTGTTCTTATTTGCAGACCAATGACTATGAAGGTATTGCAAAGGGAGGTCAATGTGTTTGGCCTCAATTTCTTGGTCCTTTGGTACGTTGCTGTATGACTGTTTTGGTGCATGTGAAGTAGTGAACCAGTGCACTCATCCAACTCATTCATGGTCGTGTTTTCTGGTTTGTCTTGTTTTGCTTGTTTTTAACTCTCAGGTCATTGCGCAAACTCTGTCGGAAGAAGAGATTGTTGGGCTCAAGGAGATGTTCAAGATGATAGATGCGGATGGAAGTGGAGCAATCACTTTTGAAGAGCTCAAAGATGGTCTGCAGAAAGTGGGATCACAACTGGCAGAGTCGGAAGTGCGGGCATTGATGGAATCCGTGAGTTCCTCGGCGACTTCTATTTCACACGTACACTAGCGAATGAAACGATTTGTAGAAACTAGTGCTTTCTTCAGTCTCTAATGTCATTGATTTGCCTGCTTTGATGCACCTTTTATTAACTGTCAGAAAACGGGGGCGGTAAACCTGTGAAAAAAGGAATCCACGAAACAAATATGTTTTATGCAGAATTTCATCGCAAGCCCCCCCAAATTTTGGTTGTGGCCCTGTGGGTGAACTTGAAATTCCCTACTAATTTTGGTTTTTAAATAGAACAGAAAACGACAGTTAAAGGTGAAAGAATAGTGCAACATATGCCTGTGTAAAGTAACTGTACTGATGCTCCCCAGAATAGAATGGCAGGGCGAAAAGGTTGTGTTTTTCAAAAAAAAAAAGAAGACTGCATTGCTCAGGTATTTTGTTCTCATGAGAACCCACTGTAGATTCACCTTTTGTCCTACCGGATGGAAAAGGCTGGTGGCACCTGGCAGATCATGTCCCGCACCAGTTGGGCAGGAATTGGCGTGCAGCCAAATCCCACGTTGGGAAAAAGATTCTCGAAGGACTGGTGGTGGTTCTCATAACAATGCTTTAAGACCGATCCCGGTTTAAACACTTTCCAAGAATCTGAAACAAACGGAACATAGATGCAATGAGAAAAAAAAACGCAGCTCTTTAAAATCAGCTCAAATTATACAACATTTGTCTCCCTCCCCCCAGCAAAGTTGCTGTGGGCCTATGGCCACCAGTGTTCCGCCCCACTACAGGCCCATTGTGATCCCAAAACTGCAATAAGTGTTGGAGATTGGGGGATTTGAACCCGCAACCTGCCCAATTACCTGCTGTATTTCAAGTTCTGTTATTTCTGTTCTCGCCTGGATTTGAACTAGGGACCTAAGACAGTTGTTTTGTTTTCTTTTTTTCCCGTTCTCAAGCAGATGAGTTTTGAGCCCGGGACCTGCGTGTATAGTCCAGCAATTGCTTAGCATAGTGGAAAGATCTTTTTGGCTGGTAGTCTTAGGCTTTTCTTTTGGTAGGCGGACACTGTGGGCCTAGGTAAGCAGCTCCTCAAAGGCTTTTCAGAATTCATTCGTCGTATTTGTGCTACTCGGTGAGACTAGAGAGGCGCTACTTTCAGCACTGCTCAAGGAGAGAAAAAGTGCAGCCAGAGCGGTCCCTGTACCGCTTTCGATCTTTTTCCTTCATCTTTGATGGAGTGTCCATGGGTGGCTTGCGTTTTGAGTTTGTAATGCTTTGTATTGCTTTTTATAAATTTTGGGAACGCCCCCGCATATTTTATGACTTTTCGTTTTAGAATAGTAAAATAGGATTTTGGCACGCCTTAGCGTGTGCACTGCGCACCGAGAATTTCTTTTCGAACTTTTCAATTTTAATTTGGTTGTAGGAATTAGGTGCAGCTCTAACTGGCATTTCGTGTAACTGTTCTGGTGCGTTTACTTTTTCCGTGAACACGTTTGCTGCGCGCTTGCTTCTACCTGCAATCTTTCCTTGCGATTTTCGTCCTTCTCCTTCGTGCCTTCGCCACCAAACTGTAACTGTCTTCTTCTCCCCCACTTCGTGCCTTCTCTTTCTTCTTGATCTCGTTGAATGTTGGTCCTGCCTTACACCATCTCTTGTAACCTCTTTTCCCACCTTTATCCCCTCTCAAAAAGGATCTTGTCGATCCTCAATAACCGTAGAAGTCAGACGAGAGCATGTAGAGAGGCTCCGAGCCCCTCACACTGCGATCCAGTTGGCTACGATCGCATTGGTTGGATCAACGTGGCCCTTACTAGCGCTCTTTTCGCTCTCCCTCCCCTCCTTGTCCCCTCTTCGTCATTCCTCCTCCGTTGTCTTCACAACCATAAATTTTGTAAGCGTGTCCTTTTTGCTCTCTCTCGCATGCTAAGTGCCAACTCGCTTGTAGTGGTTAGGCGTTGGTCGTCTGTGCCACGCAGAGTTCGTGTCCTAAGTTCTCTTATAACGATGAACAACCACGTGTATGTGAGTGGGACGTGCGCGACTCCGTAGCACAGATCAGACGACCCTAGCAGTTCCCCTCAGAAACAGTGTTCGACTTTCGTCAACTTTTGCATTGTGATCGTGGATACTGCCTTTCCCATACACTCAGTTTGTCTTCCGTTTAACGAGTTGGTCATGGTCCCGTGGCCGACTGTTGCTCTCCATGGCACCGCACTTTGTTCTGATTGATGTTGTGCTCAGCGACGAATGCAATAGGGGTCGGTTACGTGCCACATGGAGACTCAGAAGTAGCGGAAGCAGCCACGCAGGTGTGCCCCTCTGATTCCGACTTTGACCTCTGTGAGACACTTCGTCGAACGCTCGTCTATAGTCGGGATCTGACTTACACGCGTGCACCATTCCGGCCGGGAAAAAGACGTCGCTAATCACGATACGATGTTTAGTGATATTTTTTTGAATCAGACAGATGGGTGATTGCCCATCATTTCGTCTTTCGCCCTTGTTACCACACAGGAGATTCCAGTTCTGATTTGGGACTCCACTCACTTTTTCCTAAAATCATTGGCACACCCCCGTTGCATGCTTTCCGGGCCCCTTCCGCATCTTAGTCCACTCCGTGAAGAAAAGCAGCGTAGGGCATGAGTTTGAGCATCACATGCATCCCTAATGCCCTTTGCTACTCCTAAATTTCTTTGGGTGTAAGAGTACATGAACAGGCCGCTCCTGGCTTGTCCCGGTGTTCCCCTCCTTCACCTTCTCCAGCCGCCTTCTCTTCTCCTTCTCCCTCATCATCATCTACCTCCACCTGCTTCATCTGTTCATGCAATTTTCTCCTCCCCTCCTTCAGCCCCTCTTTTTTTTTTTTTTTTTTTCTCCTCGTCCTTCTTTCTTCTCACCTCCTAATATTTTGTATCCCCCGGTTATAGCGTCTCCTTTTCGGATCAGTGTGTAATAGCGGTAATTCTTCTACTTAGGAAGTAGCCGATGGGGAACAGAAGCCTGGGCAACAACTTCCAGATCACGGTTAACGTGAGGAAAGCAAACATTGTTTAGTCATCCATGGTGATGTCTCGGTACAGCAGGGGTAAGTTGCTACACTTTCTCACCACGTAGACCTAACCCTCAACACTTACGGTCAACACTTAAATCTAACCTAATCCTAAAGGTTGACCAGCTTCAATTTCCCACATCCGTCACTACGGATCCTAATTAGAGCTGATGGCCAGCCAACGATTTAAGGACTGCCAATGATTTCCTCAGGAATTATTTAACGTCACAGAGAGGACGATCTGGCCACCAGATGAATGGTATCCCTCAAGACTTACAAGCTCCTCACTGGGCCTTCCGGTTCGGTCGCACGTACCGGTCATTGGGCTAGACAGGTTGTTTAACGAGCGCCTGCCTCTAATGACCGCACTCCCTACTTGACAGAAGGTTCCTCCAACTGCCAAGCTTCTTCCCTGATCTAGAACTCCTCACTGTGTCACTTGGTTTCGGTAGAACGCCGATCTGTACCGGTCTTAGGGCTAGTCGGGTTGTTTTATGAGCGCCCGCCGCTCTGCCCATGCTTTAACCCGCTCAAATATGCTCATGTTGTCGGCCAGGGGGGCCACCCACAGGCCACAGTTCGGCCTCAGCAAGGCCCTGTGTCCGACTGTGCAAAACAAGGCCCTGAAACGAGGCTTCAGAGGCCCTGCGCCCGACAGTTGACCGAAGTCAACAGTAACCCGGAATATTGAGGCTCACGAGTCAAAGTCTGCACAGACTCAGTCCAGGCCTCCGATCAGACACACACTTTGGGATGTATGCAGGTATCCAGGCAGCATTGGGTCCAAGTGGAAGTCTGTAACTGTACGCTATCCAGGCCATCGCCTGCGAGTCAATCTGAGCCTTTGTACTCGAGAGACCAGAGGCTGGTCAACGACATCAACACTATTTATTGACTCAGCCCCTGTTGGTCAACATTCAGTCTTGCACTTGCGTGCTCGACGCTGGCATGATGTTGGATGGATGCTGGCTTGATGCTGGCAAGACGCTGGCACTACGCTGGCATTGCGCGACGATGACGCGAGACTGGTGCATTGCGTGCTGACGCCTCTCTGCTTCTGGCACCGGCTGCCTTCTTGGGTGCTGATGTGGCACTTGCCACACGTGGTGCATGCCACACTGTCTTCGACTCAGATTGGGAATTCGACGAGGGAGATCAGGAACTGTGGGAGTTATTGAGTGAGAGAGAGAGGGAAACTTACCTGTTGATGCTGTCGACATTGCGCGCTGCAGTGACGTCTTCATGGAAGATCTGTGCCTACGTGGCACTATGCTGTGATCAGATCTTGTCAGACTCGTTTCTTGGATACTGCTTGCTGATGTGGACGTGGGGAGATGCCCGAAGGAGTGGGGATTGAGGGGGGTCTGGCTACGAGGACATTGATGGATACTTTCTCTTCTGCCCTCTTAAGTCTTTTCTCCCTCCTATCAGCTTCATCCTATGGTAACGAGACATTGTATTACAGATCACATTTCATGATTACTGGAGACATTCATCTGCGCTGAGTTATCTTGTATTTCGACACTTGTCGAGTTTCTCCCCTAACTGGGTTCATTACAGATTCATCCAGCTGGTGAGTTCCTATCGTAGACCAACCTAAAACATGCGTGAGTTCTTCTCTCTCACGGGGTTAGGGTCCCATTGGGTAAGCATACCCCGAGGTAGGCAATAACCACTAACTACGCCCCCACAAGGGGAGGAGCCTTTGCTCCAGGAGAGATGGGTCCTCTGATTGACCAAGCGACAAGCAGACCAATTTGCAGAATCAAAATTGACAAAGTACCAAGTGTGACCAAGTGACATCAACAGAAGACCAACTTGCAGCAACTGTCACCAAGAAAGTACATGGACAGTTCACAAAACAAACAATAACAATCCACAACGGGGCTTAGGGCAAGAAGCACTTCACTTGGGTCTTCAGCACGTCGCGTCGCTCCTCGCTGGTCTTCAACGCATGCAGGTACGTACTCTGCTCGCCCAACCCTAATGAGCCCCTTCTAGTTCGGCTTTCACTCCTGGTCAAACCCCAATATTAATACTCACCCGCTGGCCTTATTCTTTGCCTGCGTCTCTTCCACCACTGCCGATGCAAAGGGCTCCAGCTGTGATACCAGTGCAATGAACCTCCCCTCAGTAGACATATCCAACTTGCATACACAACAGAACATTCATGTGAGAGTTCACACTTGGGACCAAGAGATGGAAACTTGAACAGCACAACAGAAAATTCTGATCAATTATATTATTAATTTATTATACAAAACCTCTCTCTCATTCCCCCCGAACTCTTCTCTCTCTCTCCTCACTTGTATCGCTCTGTCCTTGCTGCGCTCTCTCTTTCTCTCGTCTAGCCTGAGGTCTACCCTGAATACAACTGAAATGTGCCTCCTGAAGCTTCATGGCTATGGCCGCCTTCTACCTCCCCTCCCCTCTTCCAGCTATGGATGTCTTTTCTCTTGTCAGCACCTGCTTCTCCTCCTGGCGCTACCCTTTCTCCAACCCGCGCTATCGCACAAGCAACCAGCACAGCGCTTCTGCAATTTTACGAATGAAAAACTGGCTCCCCCTTGCACTGTAGCAGCTATAAATGGAAATTGCTGACTTGCTTTGTCTGCATTGGACCGGTACCTGTCGCCCACGGCCTCTGCTGCATGTTGTGCCGTACCGGAAGTCTCCGGACTTTCTTGGGAAGCTGCTGCAAAATTGGACTTTGGGACTCGACTTTTTGTGTCACTACCAGTAGACATTTACTGACCTGCGACGCTTCGGTACCCGACTCTATTGGACCGCGACATTTCGGCCTATGGACACCTATGGGAATCCACCAACCTTGGAACTGGACCTACCGGGACCTAATGGGCCTGGGACCATCTGATACTGGGACTTGGGACTGATCCAGCCTGAAATCCTCTCACATGCCTCCAAATTGATGCATTACACGGCCTCAAAACTTGCAGGCAGAAGGAAGATGCATCCTTTTGCCATGGATGGATATGCGGATATTAATAGAATCATGGAGCAAAGGCTGGTGCGACAGCAAAGAGGAAGATCCAGCATCATCTACAGGGGCAAATTCAAATACTACCTGATGATGATGAGGACGATTGATCAATCGTACTGAGCTATAATGCAGTCGGCCCCTCAGGTAGTTGTTCAGTACGAGAGGCAACTTCGGGAGAGTAAATGCAGCAGTTGATTCTGGAGCTTGCAATTTTCAGAAAAAAAACTTGTTTTGTTCTCTCTGGAAATGCAGAACCCCTTTTCAGTTGGAGCTTGTTATGTTCTAAGAGGACTTCAAACTGAGGGGGGAGGATTTTTGGGATCACAGGATTTGAAGCCGCAACCTGCCCAGTTATCTGCTGTATTTCAAATTTCTGTTATTTGAACTTATTTCTGTTCTTGCCTGGATTTGAACCAGGGACCCAACACCGTTGTTTTGTTTTCTTTTTTCCCCGTTCTGAAGCAGATGAGTTTGGAGCCCGGGACCTGCGTGTACAGTCCCGTAATCGCCCAGCGTAGTGGTAGCATCTTTTTGGCTGGTAGTTTTAGGCTTTTCTTTTGGTAGGTGGACGCTGTAGGCCTAGCCAAGTAGCTGCTCCTCAAAAGTGACGAGTTGGGGCAAAACCCTCGTTCAGAATTCATTCGTCATGTTTTTGCTACTCGGTGGGGCTAGACAGGCACTACTTTCAGCACTGCTCAAGAAGAGAGAGAGAGAGAGTGCAGCCATAGCCAGTGAGAACTTGCTGTCCACTGGACGGGTTTCTCGAGCCGATTTCTGCTTATTGCTCAAGGAGGGCGGGCCTCCAATTATCCAGCACCTGTTTCTGGTTTCATGAGCTATTTTTTGTATGTGACTATTCAATTCCGATTTTCTGTGGAGTTGCAGTCCAGTGCGATCTCATCTCAATCAAGTGTGTACGTGAGATGCTGAGTGCAAGTGCGTAAGATTTTGGAAATTCGTAACGTAAGTCTCTCTTGGTGAAGCAAATCAAAGGAGTTAAAAACCCTCTTCATACCAGTAATAAAATTTCATGGAGTTGCTTCCAAGATCAGTTTTATCACTGCCCCCTCCTCTCTGTAAACCTCAGTTTTTTGTTCTTTAAAGTGCCCAAGTCTGCAGGGAAGTCATTGGTGACTCGGGTGAGAACATGGGCACACAGTAAAAAAAATAAATTGTTGGGACTCAGAACGTGCACAGGGACCGTGCCACCAACGTCCCATGTTGCTCAGGACAAGTCACAAGTCTCAGACTTGCAGCGTCCCTAGGAAAAATCTTGGGTTTCTCAACCTCAATTCTGCAATGGTCTTTGCAGCAAGGCCACCAGAGTGGCCAGGGGCCACTTGCCAGGCCGGGCCAAAAAAATAAAATAAAATAAAATTATAATAAATTATTAATAATAATTTATTATTTAATAAATAATTTAATAATTTATTTTTTATAAATTTTATTTTAAACTTGGTAAGTAATTTCGATGTGACCCTGAGGCAAAAGTTGTTCAGTTTATTAAACTTTATTTTTCTACATAACATAGTTTTTTTTTTTTTTTTTTTTTCTGTACTCTTCTCTCAACTTCTGTTTCTTTACCTTCCACTACCTACTCCTAAGACTATCTAGAGGGGACCCCTGCAAGCATAGTTTCCTCTCTCTGTGAAGGGGAGATTYCATGTTGCCCCTTGCCCCTAATGGTTAGGGTATAGGGTTGGGGCTGCCAGTGGGGGTCTGGCTAACACAAAGACCGAGACCTGCCAGTAGYTGTGCCTCCCTTTCTCATCGTCCCCCACCCTTCATCGAGTAGCAGCAGAGGCTATGGCCAACACTCTCCCACACACGACACACAACCCACTCGCGCTCACACTCACACCTGTGTTGGTCATAGACCCCGCTAATACCAATCAGGGGTATCCAGAGGACTATCACAGTCCGTTGGCACTAAGTGCGCCGCAGGCTCTTTTTCATATTTTTTAGATGTTTTTTTTTTTTTTTTGGGTGCTGGGACCTTCCATGGTCCTTGAACGGCCGGACAGCCTGGGAAAACAAGGTGACCCGGGCGGCCCGGCTGGTAGCCTAGCTTTGCACCTTAACAGGCAGTAGATATTAGCTGATTTTTTTCCCTTGGGGTCCTAGAATCGTTTTGCAAGTCCGCCGTCTTCTGTTTCATTGCGCGAGATAGGATTAGTCTGTCATAACAACTTACCTATTTTTGTTGGAATGTGTTCTGAAATGTACACAGGCTGATGTGGATGGCAATGGGACAATCGACTATGGGGAGTTCTTAGCGGCAACAGTTCAGATGCACAAAGTGGAGAGGGACGAAAACCTCTTCAAGGCATTCAGCTATTTTGACAAAGATGGCAGCGGCTATATTACTTATGATGAGCTCAAACAGGTCTGCCATGAGCAAAATCTGGGTGAATCAGCCATAAATGAAATCATTTGCGAGGCAGATACGGACCATGTGAGATTCCACTTCTGCATACGCCCTTGCTGACTGTTTCTTTCCTTTTTCTCTCTTGTCAATGTGCTGCATGGTTGCTGCATGGTTGTTTGGCGTATGTCGCTTTCTTTGCATTGTAAGCGAACCTTGGGCTACAGGGCTGCCCAGTTGCAAGTCAGTCTTCAGGTCATAACATCTGGTGAAAGTTGTCTGCTCATTCATAGGAAAGGGGTCTCTGCAGGGATTCTGGACAGTGGGGTTCCCATCTGTGCTTCTGTCTATTTGATGTTGCAAACCTCATAGGTCAGACAATGCCATACATTGCAACTTGAATGGAAGCTGAAAGATTTCAGGAGAAAAGGAGGAAGGAAAGAAGAAGAAGAAGAAGAAGATGAAGAAGAACGCAGACTGGAAACAATGTCATCTCCCCCCGTCCGTCGCCACTTCATCTCCCTCTGATCATCTCCTCCACCTTTTTAATAAAGAATTAAAAAGGTGCGGTGTGGCCTTGCTGTGGCAGGTGTGCCAGATTAGAAAGACAATGTTGGACATAACATATAGCAAGGGAGGGAGAGCACTCAGCAGTGGAGGCAGAGGCAGAGCACACATCCCAGGACACAGCAATATCATGAAGATAGTGTCTCCGCCCTTATTTTTTGGCATAGATGCAGTGTGGCACCCCTCTCTCCATCTCTCTGTTCTGACAGAGCCCAAAGAAAAAAGAAGCATACTGCGGCACTGCTAGGTGGTACTAGGTGGGCCAGGTGGTGTAACACGGTGTGGATGATATGATGAGGGCTGGTGGTACCATGTGGATCTGTTGGGTACTATCTCGGGCGGGTCATAGTATACGGCCTGGATGCTGGTATGTGGGCTGGGCCGTACAATGCGGGATGTTGTGGGCCAAACTCCAGGACACACATCTTCCCCCCCCACCCCCCCTTGCAACAAAAAAAAAAAGAAAACCAACCAAATAGAACTTGCTGTGCAAGGGAGAGATGCACCATCGTACTTCATGTTTTGGAAGAGGGGGTTAGCCCCTAACATCCAATTCAATTACAAAACGATCTCATGACCTGTTTGGTCATCCGCATGGCCCATATGTGTACCTGTATTTGATTGCCCTGGTGCCTGCACTTGAATACAGCTCAGGAGGCAAAGCTGCAGCTCGCGTGAGAGGTACAGTGAAACTCCCATCTCTGTTCAGGACAGAACGGCCCCAAATAAGAAAAATACAAGGTCAGAAAAGAAAAGGCAAAGAGTTAGTCAACACTTCCAGGGCATGCATCAACTAGTAATTATGTGTGAATGCTCACTACATACGTAAATTGATAGCAACAGCACTACACCCGGTGTACTTGCCCTCTGCTTAGCACGTTCACAGTAGAGTCCGTGGGTGGGACTTGGGGGGGGGGGGGGG